GTAGCAAAGTTATTAAATGCAGGGATAGAAACAGGTTTTGCAGAACTGGCGTGGCTGAATAAAAGGAGGGAAAGAAGTACCCTGTACAGCGTGAGGGTAGCTGGCATTCAGGAGGGCCCCAGTGGCCCCTGTCCTTGTACTGCATTTATGACTGTGAGGCCTCAGAAAGCTCCTGCCTACTTCACTTTGGAGGGTGAGGGTGGATGAGGGAGCGCCAGAAAAACGGAATCTTGTTCTCTAGGAGGCCCAGGGGTGGAGTGCAGAGCTCTGTCCTCCATCTTGGTTCCCACACCTTCATTTCCCAGCCCGCATTTTATGCAACGAGGGCCGGCCAGGCAGGTGGAACCTTAGAGAGGGGCAGCGCATAAAGCGATTTCTTAGAAGGTGACACTTGCGTCTCCACACAAGGAAAGGAAGAGAGGAGATGCTAGTGGGAGGGACATCAAGGCAAGTGTTGCTTGTTGGGAAAGAGGAGGAGAGGCCAGGAAGTCAGAAGGGGCATGTGGGGCACCGACCTATTCAGTGCTTGGGTCTAAAATTCGAGAGCTATGCATTATTTACTTGAACTGCTGTAGAAAGCTTTATCCAGTTCAATCATCACTGTAATCTAATCTTTGTCTTGTAATCTGACCCTTTTATGTCTTAAATGTCATGCAGAAGAGGAGGAGGTGGGAGTTAGTACTTTTCAAAAGTCCAGACATCAGGGCTCCTGTCTAAACCACATGGAGGTCCTGCAAAGGTCTGGGTGGTTGTACAGGGCGTGTTTCACCCCACACGTCCACTGTGGCGAGTGCCACTGAAGGGCACAATCATTTTCAAGCAAGTCAGCCAGAGCAGAACAGATCTGTCGTCCTTAGTTCCTGCTGTGTGGCTTCTGCGTGGCCTATGGCTTCTGGGGGCAGCGGTGGTGCCAGCAGCTCCCTGATCTCCAGCACTGGTCAGAGGTTGGGACCCGGGGATGGAGGGGAGGAGCCGCAGCCTGGCCAGCAACCGCCCAGCTCTCTCTCTTACGAACACTTAGAAGCTTTTCAAAACCCAGTGGGAATGGGGCCCCCGGGCCGGCCTGCTGCCCTGCACTCAGGAGATCTCGCTGCCTCGGCCCTGCCATCCCCAGCCACCGGGGCGTCTGTGTGGACAGAGCCCTGTCCATTCCAGGAGCCGCCTCCCTGAGACTGTGGACCAGGTTACTGAGGGCTTCAGAGCCTCTGGTTTCTTGATTAGGATGGAAAATGGTTCCTCAGAGTTGGCACCAAGCCTCCAACAATAATGCATGGGAAGGACAGAGGAGAACTATTGCTCTGTCCCGCCGTGGGGACCCAAGGCACGCGCATCCTCTACACTCACAAAAGCGTGGCATATCTGTGACATCGCGGACAACACCGCAGGATTCACGAGTAGCGGGTCACTGGTGCCACCCTCCGCTCACTCAGATGCCGTCTGGGCCCCTGTGCACGCGCACATGTTCTGTGGGCTGCGGGGGTGGGCTGCGACCTTCCCGGAAGGGACGATCGGACACGCGCACACACACTTGACAGCATATGTGCCCACCTGCCGCCCACAGCCTCTGAAATGGGCGATCCTGTCCTGCACCCTGCACCAGGCGAGGTCTGAGGGCAGGGCCCGCGCCTGAGGGGCGGCAGGCAACAGTCACAGCTCAGGAGGAAGCAGTGTGCTCGTAAGGGAGGCAAGACAGAAGTCAATGGGAGCTTGCGCCACCCTTAGTAGAAAGCCACTGTGCCGTCTTTGTCCTCACAGATGTCCTTACGGAGAGTAAACATCTTTTTGAAAAAAGATTTTTTTTTCTCCTCCCACTCTTAAGTAGGCCACCTCTGTACAGAACTAGATTAGCTCTGAATCTGAAAAAGAACACTTCAGAATTCTTTTCTGAGAATAGAACTTCACCTTTGTTACCAGTTCATCTGAATCCCAGAGCTTCTAGAAGTTTCTTAAGGCTGCAAGCTATCGTGTGGCTGGAGCGTTTGGTGCCAGCCTCATATGTAATGGTATCAAAAGAGAGGAGTTGAAATCATTTTAAATAGAGAGATTGAGGCATAAGTTGTGTCCTCAATTGTCCAAGTCACTGGAGCTCAAAATTTAACATTTATACCTGTCATGCCCTAGTCAGGAAACAAAATTCTACAGTGATTATTTGAAGGGAGAATTTCATGGGGGACTGGTGGTACAGGTCTCGGAGGGCAGGGAAAGTGAACACAGAGAAGAGCTGCCACCCCCGGGCCCGACAGGAGGGGAAGGCGGTGGGGGCCGGGGGGACCCGGCGGAGCCCGGTCCTCC